CATATGCAAGTCATGTCACACCTTACCTCCAATGAATAAATAAACCTAATTTTAAAGTTTAGGAAAAGTTTCAAAGAGCAGTTTGGGAAGTAGAGAGGAGGACATTGGGTTTCACTGAAGTAAAGAATTCTCTATTTCAACACAGACACACTAGAGGCTTTGAAGAGCAGATATATGCCCTTACTCTGAACAAATTAATAAGATTCATACACACTGTCAACCCTTAATTACACAGCAATCTAGCACAGGCATATTCTGAGTCTTCTCTGTACACTCAATGTAAAATACACTCAAAAGAGATGGCTAGGGAAATAAACTAGATGGAGAAGGGCGTGTCAGCCACAATGGGCTAGGAAGGTTAAGTCAGGCACACTCAGGGCTAGGAGACATGAGCACAGTAGGAAGTTCACAGAAGCAATACATGTTGGTGTGGTGGCCTTAGGTAATTTGGGGGTAACACACAGTCTGTTTGCACTGATCATGTAAAGTAACATGAACACAGGAGCTTATAAACAAAGAGCTCTCTTAAGCAGCCCACACAGGAAGGGGAACGTCACACAGGCTCCCGGGAAGCAAAATCTTCAGAAGATTTCATAAAATGCCCAGACGTTCTTCCTGGCTGAACCAACACAAGAAGTCTGTTTAGTTTCCGTGGGGTAGGACTGTGTGAATGGCAGGGGCTGGGACTATCAATCATTGGTCGAGAACTAACCTAGTATTGGGGAGGTGTGGGGTTAATTAATCTCCAGTACTGTCATGAATCATAACAAATACAGCAAAGTGCATGTGCATAGTATATTTATCCCCAGATTATAATCATGTTATAAAAAAATTCCTTAGGGTTATAATTAACACTCTGCCAATCTTGTAGGCATTTTATTTAGTTGAGAAAGATCTTAGGTCTAGCTTCACTTCTAGCTGAACACAAGGAAATTAAAATAGTGCCACCAACAGATGTAAGCTCAAATGCAGTAGTACAAAGTTCATCACAGACCAGAAAGATGGCTCAGCAGACAAAGGGACGTGCTGCCAAGTCTGGTGACCTGAGATGGATCCCAGGACCCACATGGTGGAAAAAGAGGACTGACCCCTGAATTTGTGCTCTGACCTTGCCATGAGCGCACACTGTGACACACGCGTACCACTGTCACCCACCATTATACATACACAATAAACAAACATTGTAGGGAAGGAACAAAGGGTTCGGTGGTGCATGTTCTGAGTTCAACCCCAGCACCCACGACAGGCAGCTCACGATTGCCCATAGCTGCAGCTCCAGAGACCTGACACCTGTCCTGCGGCACCTGTGCTCAGCTGCACTGCTGTTTTTAAGGTTTTAGTTACGTTTTTAGTAAGGAAAACGGACAAGAAATTTTTACTGCGGAAATTGCTTTGAAAGGTGCAGAGAATAAGAACTAGATCTCTATCACAGACATAACCACTATGAATATCTTTCATGCTGCCCCTCCTCCTTTCCCCGCCCCCACCCCCTCCCAGCCTGACCTACACTCATCATGCCGTCAAGGGTGAGCTTCTGACTCTCCTGTCTCCATCTCTCAAGTACAGGCCTGTGTACCCATGGCCAGTTTATATGGTGCTAAGGACCAAACCCAGGGCTTCACGCATGCTAGGCAAGCATTCAACCCGCTAAGCCACAAATTCTAAAGTGCCTCTTTCATGTATTTTCTTTGCTGGTGATGCTGTCTTCCTACTTAAGCACACATCCATTTGTAAAATCTGAATTATGATGCTTGAACATGATTTTGAATGTGGTAACATAGCATTGGTGGTTTTAGGTTATGGGTCTTCTTATTAGATCTTATTATTTATTTTTATTTTACATGTATGGATATTTGCCTAAATGTATGTCTATGCACCATGTGCATGCATACCTGAAGAGGCCAGAATAGGGTGTTAGCTCCCCTGGAACTGGAGTTACAGAGTACAGACGGTTGCAAGTGGCCATGTGGGTCCTAGAAGTCAAACCCAGGTCCTCTGGAAGAAAGTCACTGCTCTTAACGACTGAGCCATCTCTCCAGGCCCATGTTGTGTGCCTTTTGTTAACATAGAAATTTAAACTTGGATTATATCACATGCATACAATTCTACATCTTTGTTTTCCCCACACTGAACATTCTCCTACGGACATTTCCCATTAAGCAGTCTGTGAAAACAAAGGTTTGTTTTTACTCTTCTGCCACACAAGCACACATGCTCCCGTCTGCCCTCCCATCTTCCACTGTGCAACAACACAACAGCCTCTCTAGATAACATTCAAAACACAGAAAGAACTCATACAACTCAACAACAACCAGATTTCTTTAAATAAAGTCACAGACTTGAACAGACTCTCCATTAATCTTTAAGTAAAACTCCAGAGAGGTACCACTACAAACATCAGGATGGCAAATATTAAAAACAAAAACAAACAAAACAAAAAGGGGCTGGCAGGATTGCTCAGTGGTAAGGGCACATGCCACCAAACCTGACAACCTGAGCTCATCACCCAGGACCCACATGGTGGAAGTAGAGAACTGACTCCCAAAGGTTGTCCTCCGACCTCCATAATGGTGCTGGCAAACACGCACACACATACAAACATACCCAAAATTTTTAAAAAATAAAAATAAAGAAGCCCAGAAAACAGATTTTTCAAATGATTTATCCTGAGAGACAAAGAGAAAGCAAGTGTATGTGTGTCTCCATAGGCCAGCAGAGGACACAGACTCCTTAGAAATGGAGTAACAGACACTTATGAACCGCACTCTGCTCTCATGAGCACCAAGCGATCTTAACCGCTGAATCCCTGCAGACCAAGTGTGTAAATTTTGTGGGGCCTGTTTTTGTTGAGACATGGTCTCATTTTCAGCCCAAACTGCTGGAATTCACTATAGCCTAGGCTGCCATCACACTCCTGGGTGATTCTCTTGCCTCCGCCTTCTGAATACTGACTAGGTGTTAGCCACCAAGACTAGATACAAAATGAGTGTTTGCGAGGAAACACAGGAATTGGAACGCTCCTGCACTGTGAGAGAAAACGTAACATTGTACAGTCAGCTGTGGAAAACAGTTTGGCAGTTCCTCAAAGTTAAAATAAAACTGTTACATGATCCAAAGTCTATTCCTAAGTATATACCAAGCAAATTAAAGGTGCATACTCAGATATGATTTTTTCTTTTTTGGTTCTGGGTTTTTTGTTTGTTTGTTTGTTTTTCTAAGACAGGGTTTGTCTATGAGGTCCTGGTTGTCCTGGAACTCTAGACTGAGTTCAAACTCACATTAATGTGCCTGCCTCTGCCTCCTGAGCACTGGGATTAAACACATATTCTACCACCGCCTGGCTAAATTTGTTATTTAATGGGTGCTGAATTACTATGTTCATTATTCACAGTTGCCAAAAAGTGGAAATAACCCATATCCCTCAATAGACAGATAAACAAGCAATGTAACACCAATCTGAAAAAGGAATTAAATTCTGTGCATGCTAAAACAGAGCTAAACCCAGAAAAATACTATCCCCAGTAATAAGACAGTGTGGTGGCTATTCTTGGTTCTCAGTTTGACTGTATCTGGAATGGAATACAATCCAGAAATGGAAGGTACACCTGAGATCAGGATCTTGAGACAGGAAGACAACTCGCCTTTAGTCCAGATCTTAAGACAGGAAGGCACACCTTTAATCTGGGCCACACCTGCTGCTGGAAGCCCATGTAAGGACAATGGACAAAGGAAGGTCCATCCTTTATCCACCAGCTTGCCCTCGCTTTGTCTGCACATCCTTTCCCTCACTGGAGCCTACTTCTTCGGGACTCCAGCATATACAGAAGACCAGCTGAGACACCAGCCTTGCGGACAGAACATTCTGGGACTTTCCATTCACAGGTAGCCACTGTTGGATTAGTCAGACTGCAGCCTGTAAGTCATCCCAAGAAATTCCATATATATGTATGTGTATAGAGCCCAAGGAATAACAACAATGTTAGCCCCTTCGGCTTACACACACACACACACACACACACACACACACACACACACTTTAAGTTAATAAAATATAGTGGCCAAATACAGGAGTCATAAATGGCCCGGAATCTAAACATAAGACTTAAGGTAACATGTTTACCTACATCCTGTTTTAAAGAAGCTAAGTCAATACAATGCTACACATACATACATACATACATATACATACATACATACATACATACATGAGAGAGAGATTCATTCCATAATTTCTGTGACTCTAGAGAAATCACACACAGATGATAAATCTTGCATGATTCTATTTATCTGAGGCAGCTAGAATAGACAAATACATACAGACTGAAATTGTAATAGAAGTCAGCAGGGCTAGCAAGAATCCAGCATTACTGTCTAATAGATTCTGAATTGGTGTTTGGGTTCATGAAATTTTTGTAGCTATAGATACTGTTGATGATCAGTGACATTATGAATTATCTGCTATCACTAGACTGTAATCTTAAAATATGCTAATTATATGCTAGATAAACTTTATCACAGGTTTTAAAAAGCAAAGTTTAAAAATGAGCACAGATGGGGGGGGGGGGCACGCCTTTAATCCCAGCACTCGGGAGGCAGAAGCAGCGGATCTCTGTGAGTTCGAGGCCAGCCTGATCTACAAGAGCTAGTTTCAGGACAGGCTCCAAAAGCTACAGAGAAACCTGTCTCGGAAAAAAAAAAAAAAAGTGTGAGCACAGACCTGAGGACTATGTTTACTTGGCAGCATTCCAGTGGTGCACATGGAATGATACCCACAGCAACCAGCCAGTGCAAAAAAACCAGATGAATACAAGCAGTTTCCACATGACTGGGTATGATACAATGATACCCCACGCTTAGCAAGAGACTTAAATCCAAAAGTTGTGTCCAAGAACCCTCCGGGCTTGGCTTCCGGCTTTCTCTCATGTACCCCATCAGCCTGGCAAACAGCCATCTGAAAGAGCCCAACACCAGGGCTACTGACATGCTGCAGACCAGAGGCCATGGACTTCAGCAGTGCCAAAATCCTGCTCTCACAGGGTCAATAAGTTCCAGACATCCATCTATCTTCATTTCCCCTTCTAAATCTTTCTGCTTAAGTGTAACAATAGGTTGCTCGTGGGTGGGGTCCTCGGGCTGTGCGGGGATGTGATCTGGAGCAACGGTGCTGGCCATTCAAGTTGTGTATTGTGGACCTTGAGGCTACAAGCCCGAGTATCTCCAGCTCAAGGAGAAGCTAGACCATGAGTCCCCCGGATGCCTGGACATTTGTGACAAGGGGACTCCCAGGTCTCCGGGGTCTTTGAAGTAACAGTAGCAGGGAAGCTGGTTCACTCCCAGAAGAGAGGTGATGGCTACGTGGACACAGAAGCAAGGTTCAGAGACTGTTAGCCGCCAGCAAAGCTGCCCTGACTCGGCAGGATCCTGAGACCTCCTAGCAGCCGCCTTATAACAGGAAGGACCGAAATGTCTCAAAGACCTGTAGTCCTTCCTCGATGCTCCTGCAGCCACCACGTCAGGCCAGAGATCACCTCCCCAGAATCCACCTGTGCACACACCCTGCCCTGCCCTTCTGCCCCCTTCCTCACCTCTCCCTGAATTCCTCTGTGTCTCCCACCTACCCTTTTGCCTTGGTATCCCTTCTGCAGGTCAGACTGCCAAATGTTCCCAGTTGAATAAAAGTTGGATGAGGCAACTCAAAAAAAAAATGTGTAATAATATATGTGAAAAGGGGGGAGGGGGCATGAGACCTTGTGAGATGGTTCAGTGGGTGAAGGTGCCTGCCTCCAAGCCTAACAACCCGAGTTCAATCCCAGAAGAAAGCAACCAGTCAACATCTAAGACAACTCATCAACATTGCAGGCACAGCCCCAACTCTTGCTTTCTCAATGCTTCATTAAAATAGCCTCTACCTTCTGTGACATATGCCCAACATGATACGTGGTAAAAGCTTTTTAAAAAGAAAAGTCTTACGTTATGTGTAAAGGTGTTTTGCCTGCATGTGCACCTGTGTACCACATGCATGCCTGGTGTCTGTAGAGAGAGAGGAGATTGTCGGATTGCTTGGAACCAGAGCTACCGACAGTTATGAGCCACTGAGAACCTGAAACTGGGTCTTCTGAGAGAGCAGCAAGTTCTCCTGACCTCTGAGCCATCTCTCCAGCCCTGTAGAAGCCTCTGTAATGGCCTCTCAGCTTTATTCCCCACTCCTGCCCCAGTATCAATTAATTTTAATTGGTTATTCTTGGGCCTATCAACAAATTTTAGAAGGTACTACAATAAAATTTTAAAAGGGAATTATCCTAAGCAAAGATGGAAATTTCAGAAATCCATGCAATTCATTTTCTTTCTTTTTTTTTTTTTTATTTTTCGACACAGGATTTCTCCATAGTTTTTTTTTTTTGTTGTTGTTGTTTTGTTTTGTTTTTTTTTTTTCCTGTCCTGGAACTAGCTCTTGTAGACCAGGCTGGCCTCGAACTCACAGAGATCCGCCTGCCTTTGCCTCCCGAATGCTGGGATTAAAGGGGTGCACCACCACCGCCTGGCTTCTTTTTTTAAAGTAGAATATTGGATGCATCTTTTATGAACATCTACATCTTGTTAGCAAGAAGGATAAAGTTCTTTAGTATTTTATTTTTGACCTTGAGGTCCTCTGGTGGTTTGAATGGAAATGACTCCCACAACCTTATATATTTGAATTTTGTTTGTTTCGGGTTTTTTTTTTTTTTTTTTCTGTCCTGGACCAGGCTGGCTTAGAATGCACAGAGACCCGTTTGCCTCTGCCTCCCCAGAGCTGGGATTAAAGGTGTGCACTGCCACCACCTGGGCTATATTTGAATGCTTAGTTCCCTAGTTGGTGGAACTGTCAGGAAGGATTAGGTGTGGCCTTGTTGCAGGAGGTGTGTCACAGGGCTGGGCTCTGAGAATTCCAAAGCCCTGCCATTCCTAGTCAGATCTCTCTGCTTCCTACTTTGTTATAGGATGTGAGCTTTCCGCTACTGCCCTGGAGCCATGCCTGCTGGCCTGCGGCCATGCTCCACAGCCATGATGGTCAGGGACTCTAACCCTCCAAAGCTGGGAGCTCCAGTAAACTCTGTTTAAGATGCCCTGGTTGTGGCGTGTTGTCACAGCAACAGGAAAGCAACTAAAACATCCTATCAAATGACAGCCTAGAGGAAAAGGAGATGAGAATGTGTTTAATATGCAAAGAAACAATTGAAAGTAGTGGACCACTTGCCCTCCCTCCCCTCTGAATCTCAGCACCCTAACTTCTGTCTTGACTCAATCCATTCTCTACAATGAAATTAAATGATCCTATTACAGCATTCCCTGTGTGAAGCTTTCTGATGGTTTCCAATTAGACTCTGAATAAAATTCAGATTCCTTACCAAGGCTAACTTCTCAGCTTGGCTGTACCTGTATCTATGAGTTTTGCCCCCCAAATCTTCCTGAGATTGGCTCCTTCCTGCTAGTCAACACTTGCTACCTCATCAGATCAGCCCTTCCTACTCTACTGAAGCAGCAGCCCTCGCGTGGGATGGAGTCCGGCCGCTGTAAGCTTCAGAGCCCCTCGGCGAGCCTGACACAGTGGCCATGAGAGTCACAGCAGCTTGCTTTTGCTTGTGTTGGCTCTTCGGCCAACTTAACTACTTCTCACTGCTGAGGGTTGAAAATGGAAGAATAATGTATATGTGAAAAAGAAGTGGTGATCCCCAGAAACCTTTGCTAAGTCACTGCCAAAAGTGACAGCCACGTTAAACAC